GGAGATCGACAAGGAAAATAATAATATGTATTTATTGGCATAATGAATGCACTTGTATTACTAGCGTGTTTTGTTTCTCGTGTGTTTTCTATTTCGAGTTTTTACAATTTACAGAAAAAAAGAAAAGGTAAAAATCATCATGACATTTCAGTGTGTCATGGCGTCTTGGGAGTCTCAGGGACACGCGCCTACGCCATAAGGATACTGATGTAGGCCCTAGACCGCTACTGGAAAAGCTACGAGCTGGGCCAATTGGAGATGAGCAAGAACAAGAGCACGGTGAAAGACATTAATGTAGTGTGGCTGCTAGAGAATTTTAAAATCCCATCGTTTATACGTTGTTCATCACCCACGCTCAGGAGAGGGCTCATTGTCCGCTACCTACCAGGGTGTGTGGCGACTTTCAAGGAGTCACTAATTTTAGGTATTCGCTTCCCCTTGCCTTGAAGTTTGACAAAATATATGAGGGCATGGGGTCTTGGGGTAACTTAAGTCCACCCCAACACATGATTGAAGGTTTGTTCACCAATAGTGGTGTTTGCCAAGAAAGAAAGGCAACATTCTCGTTCTAAATTCATGATCTATATCACAATTTTATTTTATTTTTTTATGAAAATTCTATTTATAATATCATGCAGAGATTCTCTCATATCCACCTCTACAAACCGTAAAATCAACCACAAAACCACACTAAAAGTGTCGCCACCCGATACGAAAATTGAAATAAGAAATAGAGGAAGATTGCCCAACCGAATGGTAAACGCAATCTCAAGATGAGATTTTTGGTTTCTCTCTCCTCGTTCAACTGCATATTCCATTGCATCGCATGTTTTTAAAGTGCAACCAACTCCAATTTTCATGACAAATCATATAGTAGGTAATACAAGTAGATTAAAAAATTATCATTTTTTCTTCCTACCCATATGTCTACAACTAACTTTTAATTGTTTTCTAATTTCTGTTCATTACAAAAACTTATTTATGATATTATTAATTTACTTTTAGAAATAATTCTGATAAAAATTATTTAAAAAAGTTTCTAAAACAAAAGAGAAAAAAAAGCTAACATTAAATAATGACAAAAATAAGATTGAAACAAGATTAAAAAACTTCATGATAGACCATGATTTTTTTTAAGACTACTTATTTTTGCTTGTACAAATAATTATTTTTTGTGCATCTCAATGTATTTTATTTTTTAGCTGGCTCATTGTAATCTGTAAATTTTTAATTAATTTATTTTATCTAATTTTCTAATATATATGAATTATAACTTTCTAATTAATTCTACTAGTGCATATCCCGTGCGATGCACGAGATATATGAATTTGAAAAATATTATAATTCGACATGCATTAGGATATATGAGAGTTTAATACATACGAACAATATTCGATCATAAAATGTTCGTCGCGAAAAAATCATATATTAATAAAACCTCTTTGAACACAACATTAGGAGTTTGATTATTAGGTAACTCGTTGTGAGGAGCACGGCCCGACGCGGGCTGCACAAAGGGTTGTAGAAATTGGGCCTCACTTAACTGAGTTCCCTTACTGGACTTCTCTCCTGGGTTGAGAATGTTGATTGTTGTTGCCGAAAAAATTGCCCCACACTGTATTTGAGCCTTTAGTTATTTACATAATCCTAGCTTAGTTGATCAATAAATAAATATATAACTCAAAATATATTTTTCTTAAAGAGGGGCAGTTATGAAATTTTCCCATATATATTAAATAGATTAATTCGGCCTATTTACTTTGGCCCGCCCAACCACTCTATATAATTTAGTTTTTTGCCCAAATCATCTTAATATACCATCTCAACACCCCAACTACCCTCACTAATTAAATACACAATCAATCTTCTAACCCTCATCAATTAAATACACACGACACTAAAATTTTTTTTTGGTACAAACACGCCACTAAATTAAATACACACACTCAAATTTGACGAAAAAAGAAGAAGTAAAATTCTCTCTCCTCTCATCACTTATTCTCTTCATCTTCTTCATCGCGTAGCAAAGTTTTTCTTTTTTTTTTTAATCTTTCATTTGTATATTGAAGACCAGTATATCTAACACGCAAATCTTTTCTCATAGCCAATAACACTCACAAGAAATTTTCCAAATACAAAAACCCCAAAAAATTTCAAAAGTTCCAGAAATTTTCTGTCCATGCTCCTCCGCCCCGATCTGATCGTCTTCTCCGTCCTCCGCCCATCCTAGCCGCTCATCTTCACAATCCTCGATTTGATCATGCTCCTCCCTCTTCTTTTTTTATTTTTTATTTTTTATTTTTATTTTTATTTTTTATTTATTTATTTTTTTTTTTATATATGACGGGCCAGCCCGCCTAGCCCGCGGCTCGTGGCGAAGAAGTTCGTTCGGGGTTACGATTCCGACGGGTAAAACCACGAGGCCGATGGATGGATCTCGGTTGGGCCCAAGTAAATTATAAAAAAATGGTAAAATAATATATTTATTTGTATAATTACATAGGTATTTATGACTCAATTCTGTATGAATGATCAATTTGATAAACTAAAGGTTTCATATCATGATAAAAAAAACCAAACGAAATATTACCTGGAAAAAGATTTAGGGTTTTTTGTATAACATTAATTGTGTGTTGTAGATCTGAGAAACCGCACGTCTGCTTGTTTGTATTGCCCTCTGTTGCTGGGGGTGAGTTTTCTTGATATGAGATTATTTAAATTTAGTGATATGACTATGAGATTTTTTCATGATATGAGATTTTATATATATATATACATATATATATATATATATAGATTTATGTTCATTGATGCTATTTAATTTTGAATGTGATTTTTGTTGATAACAACAAATTAAAAAATGCCTACAGCTTTATCCTTTTTACATGTTGAATTTGAAAATTAACAGATTCCTTCATAATAGGAATACAAAAAAAGTGAAACACTATATGACTATAATGCAATTATTTACGGATAAACCGATGCAATATGGGATAGAACTTGTACAGATTTGTATTTCCATGTAAAATGGGATTCTTTCCAATTATTCAGCCACTAAATTTGTACATACCGAGCAAATAAACGATTTTATAGGGATTTTTATGTGCTATTCAAATTTTCAAATGAATTGATTACACGCATATTTTGTTGATAATAAACGGATTTAACGGGCTTAAATAATTTACAGGACATCTGTAAAGCATTTAATGTAGACATGTTTGAACATAGATAAAACAGGCTATTAATAGGAAAAATTCTTATGCGATTTTTAATGAATAAAAATGGAAGGATAAAGAAAATAAATTATATCACAATAAAACTGCGATTTTTAATGAGCAAAAAACAGAAGGATAAAGAAAACTAATTATTGCGTTATCAATTATGTATGAAAATCTATATTTAGTAGGCATTAAATATATTTGGCGGGAAAAACTTGCTAAAATTGTTAAACGGTTAATCTTTTAATATAATGATAGATTACATAAATTTCTAATCGATTTTAAAAAAATAGTATGGTTTAATTTGTAAAGTTGTAAAATGCGTAGTTAGTATAAAAATTGTAGAAATTAATGTAAAAGGGAATTTTTCAAGAATATTCTTAACAGTTTGAGAATGAATTTTGTGTTGAATATGGCCTGACCAATCCCATTATCCAAACGCAACCCACGATTTGCCACGCTTTCTTTCATGATTGGCATTCTCCTTCTATTCCTAGTCGAAAGCCACATGAATCTTGTGCTCTAATTTGTGAAGAGATTGTGTCAGATTCGTTCTATTTTTCAACTTTTTTGTTCCTATTTGTGTCGCTAACTATTTAGTTTTTAATATATCTTTTCAATACCTCCACGGTCCGACAAAAATTTGGTTCAATTTTGATTTTAACATATGACATTACCAAAAAAAATTAATTCGATATGGTAGAGAGTATTTTGTTTCGGTTATATGTGTAATCGAATCCAAGACTACTATTTATCTGTGTAGATAAAGAGTAAGAATGTAAACAAGTCAGGTTCGATTAGGGGTTTTGGCAAACCGAAACACTACCCACATACATTTTATCCTACTCGAACCCCCTTAGTGGCATTCAGGTTTGGATCATTATTTACCCGACTGATAAATGCGTACCCATCGTGTAAATGATCAGTAATCCAATTTTATCAAATCGGTTATATTTGACCCGATCTGCACGCTTCCCTACATCGTTTTGCATTGATATAGAACTAATAATGGTAGTTTTTAATACTATAAGAAATTTAAGTATATGAAATTTGCACTATAAAATTAATTTCTTCATTGATTATTATACCATAAATATGCTTCTTATCATGTAACTATTAAACTAAATAATTAACTTTTCTACAGTACAAATATAACAAAATTTGATAAAGAATGCAATAGGATAAAAAATAAATTAACCATTAACTAAAAAGAAATAGCTTTTTATTTTTTCTTATTGCACATTACTACTTTTACATTTATGACAAAATCTAAGTATACTTTTTAATGGAAATTTTTATCTAATTATTTGTGTTTTGCGAGTAAATGGAACTTGTAGTGATTTTTTGGTTATACTTGAACTCGAATCCTGAGCAGACCCTACTTGACTTGGGTTTCGGATAGTAAATGTATACCCACTCTCTTACCTGAACTACCCAACTAAAAAATGCAGGTAACTCTTAGGTAACCCGACCCTATGAATTTTATTGACATCCTTAATAAGAAGTCTACCAACATAAAATGAACATTGTATTTTAAATATTCAAGAGAAAATTACACCGTTCACCTGTAAATTCCTGTAAATTCCTATTTTATTTGAATCTTTATGAAATTTTGTTTTAATAATGAAGGAATTATGCATAATTTTATTTGAAATTTAATATTTTTACAAAGAAATTTAAATATAAAAATAATAAAATAAACATATAAAAATGACCAATATTAAAATGTCTTCCGTATATGGCCTAATTTTGTTCCCCTTGCGCGCACGAAAGACCATTGATAACAATGGCAACGTGATCGATACGACGTAGTTTACGAATAGAAACAAATCATATGACAGCGTAGGCCGAAAGGAAACAAAACCGCTGCGCTCATTTGAAATCCAGAAACCGAAAGCCCGAAAACTCTCTCCCAGTCTCTTAGTGAGGAAAATCCGTCTCTTGCGGCATAAGATTCTGCGTTCCAGCCATAGCCATTTCTCCGTATGTTTCTCTTACTTGTTTCACTTGAAACTGCTGGTTTCAGATTTTTTTCGCCTTTTCTCACTCGTACTGTTATATATGGAATGTTCTTGAATCTTTTTATGATAAATTACATGTAATTTAGTTTAGGTAGATAGGTTTGAATTGGTGAGTACGCTTATGAAGATTTACTTTGAACTGTCATCTTTGATCGTTTATATCATCCTGCGAATTATAGTGTTGTACCGGTTAATCATGAAGGGAAATTGTGCTGTGTTAAGCTTGAATCCTTGAATTAATGGCAGCTTGACGCAGCAGAAACTGCAAAGAGCTTGTATGCTTTCGGTGGTAATGTCAACTTGCATACTTGATAGTCACTTGGTGTATTAAATTTAGCATGTATTTGATTATGGTTTTTTCGTTGTTGTTACTTGTTAATACCCTAGACAAAATTAGAAAATGCAGAAGACTTGATTGGTAGAAATAATATCAACGATGAAAGGGAAAAAAAGATGAATGTATGATAACTAATGCAGTCGTGAATGTAATGATGAAAGTTTTTCTGATGTAGAAATATTAAAATATACATAAATAGCAGGGTATGGTAGCTTATTGGAAATTTTAGTGAGTAATCAAGATTGTGAGATACCATGTAATAATGATTGGTGAAATTTTTTATGACTTTTCTGCAAAAATTATTTCAGGGGAGGAAGAATTAATGTGGGTGAATCATATACCTGTTATTTTTTTAAAAAAAAAAAATTAAAAATTGCACGTTTGTTTAAACGAAATCTAAATTGAATTCTTGTATCCAAATGCAGATTCAGCGTTTTCCTCCCATTGAAAATTTTCATCTCAGAATGGTTGGGTGATTGCCCTTGCAGAAGCTAGGGCTGCTTGGCAGAGGACAGCCAACAGATGTTTGGCCCCAAGAAAAAGATGCTAAAAGAGCTTCCAAATTAGCTTGCCCACCAGTGCCCCTTCACGATAAACAAACCATTTCCAATCCTACTAGTGCATTTGCAGCCCAATATATTGCTGACACAGCCTCTATTGTGAAACCTCCGTAATCCAATTTCTCTCCGAATTTCAAGATGGTGGCTACAGCTTCAACCATATAGCCAGTATCTGAATGTGTCGATGGATGAACATTATTTTCTTGTTGAAGGCCATGATCTGGATTCTCAAGAATGTAAAGTCAAAGAGGAATTTGAAGAACTAAAAGTTGATGTTTGTTTTGGTTGTGAGGTCTCGAAGAACGAAAACGAGATTTATTTTGAGTCCGAGTCAGCTTGGGTAGGGGCTGAGGGAAATAATACTCCATGGTGGAGGACAGTGGATACAGATGAATTGGCTTCTTTTGTTGCACGGAGATCGCTCGATTGCATAGAGAACTGTGACCTACCAAGGCCTCTGAACACCGGTGTCAAGAAGGATACTGCATGCAGTTTTGGTGGTGATGAGATTTCTACCTATAGTCACCATTCCAACACTCATCCTCATACTCGAGCAAGTTCTTGCCGAAACTTAGGTTTATGGGACGAGGTTGAACGGGTGTCTGATGCGGATAAGTCATTAAGGTAATTATTATCTGTTTGTTCGTTCCATTTTTATCTTTTGTGTCAGTCAATTCATTAGCTGTGTTTACATTAAAACCATATTCACATTGCTCTGCGGTTAAAAGCTTTGTTGTTCAGAGATATGCTTGATAGCCAAATTTTAACCAAGTTTGTGTTGGTAGGACTATGAACATTGCTAGGAAGTTTTTCATTAGTTTAAATATTCAAAAGTTGATTTCAAGTAAATTTTTTAGCTTTTTTTCTTGGGGAAGTAAAAGTATTGTTGCAAGCATGGATAACACCTTCACCTGGAGAGATTAATTGTCATCCATAAGTAGGTAAATAAATATGATTGCTGGTCTGTTGTTTAGTGCACCTATTATTTTTTTGTTCTGATAATTTGTCTTTAGGATGATTGGGAAGACAGTGCAGGGACATTATTGAACCTATAAGAGCTGTTGCTTTTACTCTCTGTATAAAGGTGATCTCTTCTGGGCCTGGTGATGGGGCTGAAGTGGGCTGCTATTTTCAGTCCCATATGGGACAGGTCTCTTGGCTCCCATGACCCAGGCCCTGCCTGTCACATCACATTTTCAACTATTTTTCCATCTCTTGATCATGTCAATAGCTCCAAAATACGACATTCATTGTGTGCATACAGATATATAAACTAAAAGAGAGTATTATATAAGAATATGTTATATGCGATGCTATTGTCACATACCACATGATATGCTATTCAATATTTACAAAATCAGAACCAACTTTTTTTGTTATATTTCATACACGGGCAAGAAAGCCGCAAACACGAGCTTACATTAACGTTCTTGCGAAGACAGGACATGGTTTTGCTCATAGTTTCTCTCGTATATCTTCTTTTAACTTTGCAACTTTGTACTCAGGGATATTCAAACCCATGAGTTGCATTTGCTTGATAATAACACGACCAAAGTCCAACTAATGAAAGCACTACGCCACTCTCAGTCGCGCGCTCGAGAAGCTGAAAAGGAAGCAAAATTGGCCCTTAGAGATAACGAGAATGTGGTGAAGCTCGTATTCATGCAGGCATCTCACCTGTTTGCCTATAAACAGTGGCTCCGCTTGCTGCAACTCGAGAACATGTACCTGCAGTTCATGAACATCACAGGTCGAGAGTCTGTCTCCATCATATTACCTCAAACGCAAAGGAGTGGGAAAATACAGGAAAGCTTGCGCAAGTCTTCCAGTAAAAAAAGGTCCAAAAGCTCTTGTTCAGGATGTGAGTTTAGGAAATATGGCGTTGTTTTTGCATTAGGGTTTGGGCTGGCTGGTGCAGGGTTTTTTCTGGGTTGGTCAGTGGGTTGGATTTCTCCAGTCTGGTGAATCAGTTACTTCATGTCTTGTGGTTTGTGTTTGTTATAACCGTAGTTTGGTATCTTTCTTGTACGTGTAAGTCATGCTGAAACTTTTCTTTGTTTCTTTTTGTTTGTTTGCAATCTTTCTGGTACATATATAAGTAATGCTGGAACTTTTATATTTTCTTTTCTTGGCCGTTTTCTATTCTCTCTATTGTTTCTGTATGTGAATTGATGTGTATGTGTGAACAAAGAAAGGTCATGTTTGACGATGACATAACAGGACTCGTTAAGTACATACATTGTGATGGGGTCGACTTCAGTTTCAATCTGTAAAGGATTAACTAACAGAGATCTGTGAGTAATCCACAAACTGCAGCATAGTACATAAATTGTGACCAGGTACACTTCTATTTCCATCTGTAAAGGATTAACTAATAGAGATTTATGAGTGACTGCAACCCATAGCTTTTTTATATTCATGGTTTTTGGGACAAATACCTTTGGTCATGATGTAATAGCTGCAAATTGCATTATCGTTTTGTTATTCTCGAGGAGAGGCAGAGGAAAAATACTTAATCGACTTTCTTTTTCGTCCCACGAAAAGGTAAAGAACTCAGATTAGTAGTTGAAGAGTTATCAGCTATCATTAACAAGTACTGAAAAAATTATGGAAAAAAAATTAAAATCTCAAGAAAAAGTTTATGCAGACATAAACTCATATGAGAATAATGTCACATTGATAATAATTTCTGAGCACCTCAGTTTTTGGTTTGAGACACTGACATTTTGGTTAGCCTAGTAACACTTATTCAAGAGTCAACAATCCATTCAATTATCTATAAAGGGACTTATACATCAAGCACATAGAAAACAAAATATGTGGTCCTTGTTGAGAATGTGTCTTATTTGAGAATTGAGAAATGTATAGCTATGCTTATANTAAAAAAAAAAAAAAAATAAAAAAAAATGGTATAGCTCTGCTTTCCTGAGGCAACAGCTTCAACGGTTGTTTACACCAAAAAAATCAAAATGTATTAATGTTGCACAAATCTTCTTTGCATAGTTCAGTAAATTTTACAATGGATGCGCGGCTGGTAAGAGAAAGTGTGGCTTCTTCAGTCTTTGCCTTGTTAGTGTGTTTTCTTACTAGTCTTCCAATGCATAACGTGTTTAAAACCTTCGCATATAGTAGCCTGAAACAAAAGAAGAATAACGTTGAAGTCGAAATCTTAGCTAAAAGAGACCATTGCCTCGCATAAAATAATGCATAATGAGATGGACATGAGTCTAAACAAGGCCTAATGCAAAATGGACTGGATAATCAACACACTTGTTTCGTTTTAGACCTTTTCATTTTTGGAGAGGATTGTAGTTACATAAATCTCCTGGGTTAATCTAATCTAATTCATAAAAAGTATTAAGCATTCTATTAACACTTATAAATAGGATTCCGGTTTGAATTAACTAATCAACATATCTCTTCACTCTTGGGGGCTCCATCACAAAACAGAAACAAATGGCAAACTCTGTAAGATGACTACATATTTTCATAAATCTGGGTAATAATTTGCATCACTGTCCCTTTTCATTTGTCCTTTTTGAGAGCATTTCACAATCAGGCCCCATCAATTGTCATTGTTGGGTTTTCATGCTGGATTCGATATTTAATGCTGCCAATTAAGAAAAATTTGATCCTATTAACCTTTACTGTTTTACTGTTGGATCAATACATTATGTGATCTATGGTTAAAAAAAAAAAAGGAACCTTTTGAGGGTAGGATTGAATTTGCCATTGATTCAGAATGCCGAGGTAAATAAATGAGATTAACTGAATTTCTCAAGTGAGAAAAAAACTGTTAACAAGCCCTGATTAATTTAACTAGTTACAATCCAGATGAGGTGAGAGATGTGAGATGATTTGATAAAGGGAAATAAAAAAGCAAAATTGGCAACAAACCTCTTTGAGATTTTCTGCCAATCTTGTACAAAATTGAACAGCTCAAACAAAGAAACACACATACATAAACAGAGAGAGAGAGAGAGAGAATTACCCAGACATGTGAAGATGATTTACCATGAGAGGCACTGGAAAAGCTATTATGCCTTCTCAGCTTTCTCTCCATCCTCTTACTCACATTCCCTTCCTCGCCACTCTCAAAGCTGCTGTTGGACGACGATGAAAACCCCAAACTGCCCCCGTCCAGGACCTCCCGTTGACCGCCCCTCACTTTGCCCAAAATCCTTCTCCCCGTGCTCTTCCGGCCAGCGACCAAATCCGACGGTTCCGGGCCATCCCTGGAGAATCTGGAAGACGAGAATTTGGGCCGGCCCACGTTGTAGGGCCCGTCGAGGATCGACGACGGAGAGGGCGTTTTCGCGGCGCCGTCCATCGTCGGCTGGATTCTGCAGGGAGGAGGGTCGAGGAACCTGGCGGATTTGGGTCCGGCGACGGTGCCGGCGCCGGGTAGGGGCTTTCCGGGCTCCTGCTCCCACTTGAATGGGACTGAGGCCGACATTTGTAGCGGCGGCGTCGAGATTCCCGACGGGTGTTCCGGCGAGTAAATGGAGGCCGATGATAGCCGGTGACGAATCATCGGCGGGTTCAGAGACGAGAAACTTGGGCGGTGCTCATATATTTCTCCCATTGTTGTGTGCGTGTTTTTCGTGGGGATTATGTGTTTTTAAGTGCGTGTTTCGTGCCTGTGTTTAAAGTTTAAACAGGGGAATGCCGAATGGTCTAATGCAATTGGTTTCAACTAGTGCTTGTGCGACAGGGAAGAAATGATTGTATTATAAAATAAATAATAAATATATACATAATACTATCAATTATAATAATTTACTAGTACGAAATCCGTGCAATGCACGGATAAAAAATATTCTTTAATATTTATAAATTAAAAACATTTATTAAATATATTTATAAATGAATAATATGGAATCAATAAGTAAGACAACTACCTATATTAATTTATTGAAAATGTTATATGAAATATAAATTGTGCAAAATTACATTAAATATGTCTATTTAAAATTGATACACGACCCGTACGGTGCAAGTAACTAATAATAAATTACATCATATTCATTTCAAAATAGTTGTCATTTTAAAATTTTTATTCAGAAATTCGATTTGACTACAATGTGATTCAAGTAAATACAAACATTTATACACACAAATACACACACACACACACACACACACACACACACACATATATATATATATATGAAATAATTTGATATGTTCCACGCACATTTACAAACTATAGTATCCTCCAGATTTTGTTCTCATTAATATCGAGTAAAATGCTTAGCAATATAAAAAAATGAGATACTATTTTTTACCATAAGCGGGTATATTGGATCAATATATAGTATACCAAATAATTCAATTTCATACTTTATCGTTAAAATACAAAAAAATGATGTTCAGATTTACTACAAAATTAATTGCCCGACATACAAAACAAAATTGAGACCCACATTTTTTATAGATAAAAGTAAAAAGACCCAAAAAATAGTTATTAAAAAATAATTAAATAGAAGCTGCCATTAATATAATTATAATGGAATAATTTTATAAAAAAATTATGATTGAATAAATCAACCAAATTTACTCGACTGTGTAATTAGGGTATGTTAAAAATGTAAAATTTTATGGTCTAATTATTTTCTTAATTATCCACAATTTGAGTAATTAAATACACATAAATAATTAACAATTATTAAATAATATTTAAATAAAATGTGTCACTAACACAATTTTTTTAGAATAGTTTTTTGCAAATTTCATAATTGATCATTTTAGTTGATATTTTCATAATTCTAGTAATTATTTACATATTGAATAAATCATTTGGATTTACAGAATTTGTGTAATTAAGGTATATTAAAGATAATTTTTACAAAAGAATTACAAGAAAATATAAAACACTTATTAAATAATTAATTACATAATATAGTAGGAGGATTTTATTAAATCACATAATTGATATTGCAGTCGAAATTCCCATATTTAGTTAAATCAGCCAAAATCACATGATTTGAGTAATTAAGATATCTTAAATATGATTTTTTTATGACTTATATCATTTTCTTAAATAATGAGCTGCATCTTCCATAAGTGATTATTTGAAATATATCATAAATTGTTAAACTAATTTCTTGAAATAGTAAATATATATTTTTTTTTTGAAAGAAAATAGTTACTATTTAAAAAATAATCAAACCTTTATATATATATATATATATATAGATTCATTTCTCCGGATTTTTTAATCTGAGTGAATGGATCGGAATCAGTTTATAGACCATTACGGTTCACTTTAATAAAACGTTTGCTAGCGAACTAGTCAACACTAGTCGATTGTAATGGTAGGATTGATACGATTTTTTAAATAAATTTTGTTACATTTAAAATTGTTTTCAATATAAATAAAAATACATATTAAATAAAATGAAGATTTATAAATTATTTATTAGTTAGTTTACACATTGATTTTTTAAAAAAAATTTCAGATATTCAATTAATATTTTTAATATAAATTTATTACAAAAAGTATAATATATATTAAAATATTAAGAAATTAAATTCTAATCCAACGAATAAGTCATTGAATAAATAACTTCATCGGTTCGATGACAGTCCCGTTCTAAGAATCCTGGATAAAAATTGTAATACAATATCATTTTATTCACATAAATATTAATAAAATAATATATAAAAATTCATTAATCATGTCATAAAAGCATTCTTAGTATGATTATTTGGAGTTTGGATGACATTACATTTATGGTAATAAATTAATTTTAATATTAAAATTTATTACAGAAATTTAAGTCATTTTACTCGAGGCCCATTTTTATAATTTCATGTGTTCAAGAAATTCTTAAACATCAAATATTAACTGCAGAATAAAGATTCTAGATAGCGTTAGAGATTATTTCTAAAATACGATAAATCATTTCTGGAACGCTAAAAGTAATTTGAGTGAAAACTATAGAGTGGATATATTTTTAATTTCTCGTGGCAAAATGGCTAAAAATTTTCTTTTGCTGCCAGCAATATTTCATCTGTTACAAAAGAAATGACTATTTACATACCATCAAATATAGGGTGCATTATTTATTTAAAAAAAAACAAAAATATGTGGAAAAAAATAAAAAAAAAAAGTTGTGGAAATGTATAAAACAGCCGGATTTTCAGAATCCGTTTTTCTAATTAAATTTTTAATTAAAAAACGGATTCTCACAATCCGTTTTTACTTTTGATTTTTTTTTTTTAAGATAACGGTCGAATTTAATAATAATAATACATCCACTGACTAAAACGGATTTTCAAAATACGTTTTTCATTTAAAAGCGAGTAAAACGGATTTTGAAAATCCGTTTTTATGTTGATAAATATCATTCGAAACCAATTTCCTCTCCCATTTCTCCTCTCCCATTTCATTTTCTCCTCTAGTTTTTTGCTCGATTTTATTGCGAAGTGAAGCTGCAATTAAAAAAAAAACAAATTTTCCTATTTCATTTCTCCTCTCGTTTTTTGCTCGATTTTTTGGCGAATTGAAGCTGTTCCCGGGAAAAAAACAAATTTTCAACCAATCGTCGAAGAAGAGGTTAGTTGTTATTTTAATATAATGTAATATTAATTTTTGGTTGTTTATGAATGTTTAAGATATATATTTGGTTAATTGAGTATTGTTTAGAAAATCTTGAATGTTGTTTAATATATGTTTATGAATTTGGTTAATTGAATATTATCCAAATTGTTTATGAATTTGATGTTATTGTTGGATTATGGTGATTAGGGTTTTTGTTGTGGCAATGTACTAAATTAATTGACAATTTTATTTTTTTTTTGTTGGAGTAAAAATATGATTAATTATATGTTGTTGTTGGATATGTGTTTTAAATGTAGATTGGTAAAATAATAATTGAAATTTTTCTCGGGTGTTTGATTAGTCATTTTAAATGTAGATTGGTGATTAGGGTTTTTGTGGTGTTTTTTATAAACTAATTGACAATTTTTTTTTGTTCGAGTAAAAATATAATTAATTATATGTTGTTGTTGGAAATGAGTTTTAAATGTAGATTGGTAAAATAATAATTGAAATTTTCTCGGGTGTTTGATTAGCCATTTTAAATGTAGATTGGTAAAATAATTAAATTTTTAAATGTAGATTGGTAAAATAATTGAATTTTTAAATGTAGATTGGTAAAATAATAATTGAAATTTTCTCGTGGTGTTTGATTTTTTTTTTATGTTGTTGTAATTTGTAAAATATAATTTTTTTTTTGTGCAACAGGTTATAAATATCGTCCAACGGTCCATACTTTGTTAATGTGTACTGGAAAATTCCCCAGAGTGAGTTATGGAATTTTTCGAATTATATGTCTCGTCCGGATTGTTCATTTGTTATTAATGGAATAATATCATATCAACAATTGGTAGATATGATTTACGAAAATGGTGGGTTTCGTGATAGTTGGGCAATTTCGGATATTACTTTGATGGCGAGACAACAGGATGGTTCGTTTATTACCGGAAGACTGCATAATGATAATTCTCTTTCGTGGATTTACTACTCTGCTCCTATGTCCTATGTGTTTTTGCATATAGTATTGGAAGCAAACACACAGGTTACACAGGTTGAGGATCTTACGCCATCATATGGTTACGAGGGAATGTTTGGTGGTGAGGATACGTGGACTACGCATGCCGGTAATTTTGGTGAAGGGACGAGTAATTTCGGCGAAGGAACGAGCATTACCATGAGAGGACCGGACATTGAGGAAGAAATTGTTGGAGATGAAGATTTCATTCCCGGTGAAGACGATTTAACGGATGAGACCTCGGAAACCGAATCGGACAGATCAATTAATGAGGAGAGCGAACAAGAATTCATTGAAGAACACCCCTTTCCAAATGAAGGCCTCTACGATTATCGCGAGATGGGTGAATGGGACTCGTCGTGTGTAGACAGGGACGAGTATGCCTTGCCAACCTGGAATGGGCATGTCGAGACTATCCGTTTGGGTACAGTTTTTCGTACCAAGGAAGAAGCCCGGATTGGTATTAATGCCTGGAATGTTGAGAAGCTTAGGGCGGTCCGGACAAAAGATTCCAACAAGAAGTCGTTCAAAGTTGTGTGCAGATCAGATGAAGTTGTACCATGTATATGGAAGGCCCGGGTGAGTCTTAATAAACGGGATCACGGCATGTGGGAGGTAACTGAATGGACCGATAGCCACACTTGCATGCAGGTGTTCGAGAGAAATGACCACAAGAATGTGACCGCCACCATGATCTCAAATCTTCTGTTGGCTAAGATTCAGAAGCAGGTGACCTACAGTGTGGAAATGGTCCAGGCCGACGTAAAAAGTGCCTGGGGAGTCGATGTCAGTTACAAGAAGGCGTGGCACGGGAGAAAAAAAGCCATTGATCGTCTGCATGGCACGTGGAAATCGAACTTCGCACAACTCCCCCAGTAAGCAAAAATTAATTATAAACGTATTTACGTGTTGTTTGTAACTATATTTATTTATTTATTTATTTATTTACGGTTACCTTTTATAATTTGCAGGTTTTTCGCCGTCCTTCAAAGGGCGAATCCCGGTACAGTCGTTGAGTAGGAATGGCAAGGTGGAGAAATGGCGAAGCAATCTCGAGACAGAGAATTCAAATTTGTCTTCTGGGCGTTCGGCCCCGCCATTCAAACCTTCCTTCGTTGCCCGCCGATTATTAGCATCGACGGCATGCA